GGGTGGGCAGGGCGGGGCGGGAATCCCATCTGAGAGGAGCCACAGGCACAAAAAAGGTGCCGTTTCATCAAAAGCCATGGACCAGGGAAGGTGAAGCAACCACAGGGAGCCTGAGTCCAGACTCCCAGGGCAAAAAGCCCAAACAGTAAATCAGACTCTACTCTTTAGTGTCATCAACCGTCCCTCATAATATTAATTTTGCATCCATACTTGCATAGGGTGGAGGCATAAAGTCAGAATGTCAAAATGTCACTGAAGACACATTTTTAAATGCAAAATACCCAAACTCGACAGTAGCAAACTTAAAAAAACAAACAGTGCTGATCAACACTAGCCCAACCTAGCCATTCTCAAGTTGCACTGTGACCATGACCTACCTGCACGTGGACAGCCTCCTGTCTTATAACACTCCCTTCCTTGTTCCATACGCAAGGGAGTTCTGGGGATGGGTAGGACAGGGACAACTAGAGGGTTCCAGGAGAACCTAAGGTGGCTGGGAAGGGCACACAATCGCTGTGTGGGCATAGCAGTCACCTCACAAACATTAGGGGAGGAGGCCAACAGGGAGATAAAGGAGTCTTCCTCACACCATAAGCCTCCTCTCCCTTACAGCCGCGGAGGCAACGGGCACCCAGCAGGAATCCTCATCGCCAGGTAACATAACCTGGGGAGCTTTAAAATCTTCCTCTCGGAGTCTCTGATTCTCTCGGTCTAGGGGCTGGAGCAGCTCATGGACTGAGAACAGGTTAGGAGAGGACAGGGTCTCCTATACTCTTTACAGTTACTATGGCTGCAGGTTCAGACATCCCCTGAAAACACTGAAGCTGAAAGGAAGTTCAATGATAGAATGTATTTGAAGAGCTTAGTATGATGTTTATAAAAGGTTATTAAGGGGCATCGCCTTAGTTTTACTTGAGTAATAGCAATACAAACACATGGCTACAAGAACTAGGTCTTACCCGTCTGTTGAGGGCGGTCTTGCTGCCAAGTTTGGTCATGTCTCCAAGGCTGATCTGTGACACTCTTCGGTCAGCATCATCCTGCATCCCTTAAAGAGTTACCAAGGACACCGTTTGTATAGCATTCTGTGGCATGGGACAGTTAGAGAAGTGACCTGCCAACAAGGTTCTTCAAGGTAAAAGGTGAGTCACCACAGAACTACTGAAGAACTGGACCTATACCTGTAGCATCCGAGCATGGAATGTCCCCATTCGTGGTTGAGGTTACAAGGTATTTCCTTGCATTGCTCAGCCCACGGCTGTTCAGGAAAACAGGCAGATGGACAATGTTCCGCATGTAGTCGTGCCCGTTGATGTTGGAGTCTCGAAGCACACTGTTGAGGTTCTGGTTAATGGCCTTTATGATGATGTGCGGATCGCTCGCAAAAATGGCAATGAAGGGACCTTTGGAAAACAGAACTCGGACCTGTGGCAAAAAAAACACACATTCACAACGTAAACTTTAAATTACCCAATGTAACAAAGTCTCTTCAAAATCGTGCTATCCTTGGATAACTATAATTTTTAAAAACTATTTTTCATCAAAATGTTATTCTATATGAAAACAAATTTTATTGAAGTCTCAATCTGGTTTTTCACCACCTGACAATTTTCACCATTTGACAGTGATAAACCTCCAAAGAAAATATTTAATCCTGTCCTATTTTGCGACACTTAAGGTCTACATGAGGTAAGATCAGGACGCATGAGAAACACTCGTGAACATACAAGGAGGTACTGGGTACACAGGTCTCTGACCTCACAGAGTCACTGATGTGTTGACTTAAACAAAAAACGGCAAGTTCTGTGGGCTCCCTGCCTCTCTCACTCTGACCAGACTACCTGCAAAGGAGAGCTGAGCCACACGTGGGCATCTGAGCTCCTCCACTCTTTCATTCTTCACTCTGCCAGTGAGTTAAAATGATCTAGACCTGCCTGTGATGGAATATTTATTCTTGCTTTGTTTCTGCATAAAAAATGGTTATTTTTACAAAAAAAGAAATACTATTCAAACCCATCTGAGCTATGCATGAAGGCATCTCTCTCGCTGCCACACGTAACAGTGACCAGCTGGAGGCAGGGGAGACTTACAGTGTCAAGCATCTGCAGCACTCTATCCTGCTCGCAGGCGTCCAGCCCGTCGATGATGACCACCAACCTCGTCTGGTTCTGAGTGAAGCTATCAATGGTTTTGGCCATCCTGGCCATCAGCTCCACCTCGCACTTGAGAACCTGTGCAAAAGACAAACAGGCAGCACTGAGGACAGGAGGAAGCTCGGCACGCTCCGCAAAGAGCCTACAGAAGTCACCTAACAGGAAGAAAAGGAATCAAGAGTCCTCGCTGCCAGCTACGGTTCACTTGCAACTGCAGTGAGGGCTTCACAATGTACAAAGTAACTTCTCACAAACTGGAGTATTTCACCCTCACAATGAGGGAGACCCTGTCATGTCTAGGAGTTTTTTTATTATCAAACTGGGCTGAGTGACTTCTTTCCAAGACCAGATTCTCTGAATGTCAAGTCTGAGATCTGAATGTACATCTAAATGACCAAACTGGAGTGGGCTCCCTGACGGGACATGGCCTTGGCCAAGGGAAGGGGCTGCAGGTAAGTACTCAGTCCCTTGAGTCTATGTTTCTGTGGTTCAACCTGTTCACTCTACCAGGCTCCAGAGGAACCTATATTGTTGGGTAGGAATTACCACCTATGAAGTAATCAATTCACTAACTCCCTTGAGTGCCTCATAAAAGTCTTCTTCCCACTTCAAATATGCATTTCCACAGGAGAAATCTGGACTGAAACTAAAAGCCACTGCAACACTGTAACACTCAAGAGTGTGCGCCCAAAGCCCAGGTGGCCACGCTGTGGGCGCACGTCCACATACGGTCACCTCCTACCCAGCACTGAGCACCTACTTTCATGAATCCTTCGCTTTTCAACTTGTGCAGCCTGGAGGCAGCGCTGTGGAGGCGCTTCCTTTGAGAGTTCAGGAGAGAGTCCAGCACCTGCCACCAGGTGCGACAGTTCAGCAGGAAGGCCAAACCCACGACAGACGCAATGGCTATGAGGACGGCGTTCACCGTCAGGTGTTTCGGGTCGACTCTGAATATGGCCAGGAGGGCGATCCCGGCAACAGCGCAGCCAAGCACGAAAAGGAAGATGACGAAAGACGGGAGGCAGCAGGTCTTCTTCCACTTCCTTCTGCCTGGAAGACAGCGAACAGCCTCCATCACGGACCCGCCGAGCGCCCAGAGCCCTACCACAGCGACGACGACGGCCCGCCACGCTCCCTCGCACCCCAAGCCCGACCCAGCAGCGGGCAGGAGGACGGCCTACCCTGCGTGTCTTCAGTCTTGAACACTCGGAAAAGCCTGGTTGCCAAAAAGCCAAACTCTCTCTCGCAGGCGTCGGAGAGGGTGGCGATCATTTCAGCCATGGATGTCTCCCCGCCCACGCTGGACAGGCGATTGTAGTCTGTAAACAAGAACCTGGGGAGAGGAAAGAACACGGTCCTCAGGTCGCTAAAGAAACCACTTCAGCATCCTTCATCTCAGTATCATTTACCCTGTATTTCTTTGTTTCCTTCAAAATATTGTTTTTAAAATTCTGAGGGAAAAGAACTTGAAATTAGATATCTTCCATTTCTAACATCTTAGACAGTTTTCTTTGGAAAGACAATTTAAAAAGTTAAATGCCGCCCAGCTGGTGTGGCTCAGCGGTTGAGCATCGACCTAGGATCCAGGAGCTCGAGGTTCAATTCCCGGTCGGGGCACATGTCAGGGTTGCAGGCTCGATCCCCAGTCGGGGGCGTGTAGGAGGCAGCTGGTCAATGACTCTCTCATCATTAATATTTCTCTCTCTCTCCCTCTCCCTTCCTCTCTCTGAAATCAATAAAGACATATTTTAAAAAAAAAGGTCCAGTGTAGCAGAGTTATATGAAGTAGTCCTGACTAAAGGCAGGAGAGGAAGGAGGTTACGACAGAGTCCAAGCAAGGAACAGACATCTCAACTGATCTCGCGATACGATGAGAAGGCAGCCCCCACATCAGGATGGAGCCAAAAGAGCTACACTTGAGAGAAAGTTTTCCAAGCACCAACCAAAAAGATCAGAACCTTGAGAAAATATTATATTCATTAAGAATTTAATGCCACTTAAAAACTCAAGTTTTAGAAAGTCTTGTTTATAGCTTAAACATCTACCAGGGATTTAAAAATAAGTCCTATCGTATTCTTTTCACAGCTATTCTTTGAAGTAACTGGGTTATTTACACTTTGATTCTCTGAATAAAGAGCATTTCTGCTCCAGTTCCTCTGTCCCCTCCGTCCCCACGGAACTCTCAGCTGCACCCAGCAGATGATCACGATCAAGCACAGCCTAGGACAGCACTGCACTGCACAGCGCTGTGGGCTCATTCAGGCTGTTTCACTGTTCTAGCTTTTAAAAATAATACCATCTTATTAACTTAACATGTTTTATTTTCTATAAAACTATTTTCCTCGATAACTTTATTCTGCTCTGCATGTTTTCTTTTTAACTTTTTATTTTTAAATTCTTTTCTTAATACTTAATCTATTACCTGTAGGCTTATTTTTCTTATATTGCAACTGTGATATTTTATATGGTTTGGCCTCTTTATTTTCATCTTAACTTACACGTTTTACCTTACAGTGATGTTACAATTCTTACTTTTAGTGTACGTGTAATTACCTTGCTCATTTCTACTAACTTTCTTCTGCCGTCAGCTCTCTGTCTCATTACTGCCCTCTGGCCCAGGACCTTTCCTGCAGTCCCAGGGATACCTGTTTTTCTCCTTTCTGCACTGTTTTCTCACACATTTCCCATGTGATATTACTAGCAATTTCAGACAGGCAGATAAGTACATTTCCGGAGATGTGGAAAGAGCAGCTTGGAGCACAAGCTGAGTTACTGAGGTTACACACAGCACAAGGAGGTCCCAGGACCCCATCCTAGCCAGATCCAGGGCTCTTTCCAAGTGAGTCCAAAGGATGAGACAAGGTGTCACAGGAGGAGAGAGGGGCGTACGTGGAAATAAAATTTGGTAAATCAAAGTTAAGTGGATTTCTTTATGGACAGATGTCTCTGATCCTCTCGTGCCCAAGAGGGAGATACAACATGAAGTGTTTCCCAATGTACTTGACCAGGGCAGGTTTGTTTTACTTCTCATATAAAAAGTTCAAGGGATCAATGTTTTTTGAAATGTACATTGAGAAGTGGTGCAATATAAACTTTATTTTGCTTCCCCTTATTAAACGTTACCCTGTCAAAGGGACCAACTCACCTCACAGGTAAAGCTTTAGTGGTTTGCTCCGGCAGTTCGGGCGGATTGACAAACATTAATTTGAGGAGGAGTTCCAAATAGCCAATGTGTCTTGCCAACCTCGTACTGAGGACCCAGGCCCAATTCCAACTCTCTCCTTCCCTCCGTCCACCAAAGTAAATGACAGCTGCAATGCACAGTTTTAAAAATAATTACCCCAAAAGTCACTAGTCAAGCAGCCTCTTTTCTCCAAGGTCAAATACCAAGGACAACAGGCAGGTTCACACAACTTGTCAGGGTCCTTCCTACCACACCCCACCGAATTCCTACCACACCCCACCGAATTCCTCAATGCATTAGCCTCCACCAACGTTGACACAGAAGGTAGATGGAAAATGGAAAGTTAACAGACTAAAACACGGCATCAGAAAGACAATGCCTTAAACAGAAACACTGTCCAGTTCAGATTCCAATGCAAATAACTTTGGGGTTGTCCTATTTGCAACTGTTGAAGTTACCAGTTCCTCCAATGGTAAATCTATTTCCTTCTTTACGACTGAAGACATCTCAAGGACAGGGATTATATATATATATATTTTTTTTTTTACTTTGCTTTTATATAAAATAAAAATTACAATCATGATCAGAATCCTCCAGAGCATTCCAGTGATGGCTATGAAGACATTTTCAAAACAAGATTTAAACATAAATCATTAAGTAACATGCAAAAGGGTAGATACAATAAATCGGAGTTCTGCTTCAGTATTAACAAGCAGATGATTCATTTTAAAGCTACTCCAGCAAGGTTGTGGGCCATGTTTTTCTAGGCGAACTTATAAAACAGCAAAAAGATCCATTTTCTAACCTAATTATGATAATCACAGGTTTTAAGAGACAGAGAATACAATCTTTTAAGTAAAACAATGAGTCTAGACATTTTCCACATTTTTAAAAAACATAAAAAGCAAAGACTTACTAAAAAATATGTATAAGAGAGCCAAGCAGCTCAGAGACACTGCTATTCCGAGATTTGGGTCGACCGTAAACGCCAATAGCAGCCCCAGCCCCCCACAGAGAAGCAGGGTCAGGAACACGACCAGCCACGAGAACTGGAAAAGAGGCTCAATCTGCTGTCCTGCAAAAGTCTTCATTTCATCTGAAAGAGAAATTAATAACAAACATTATTCCTGTTTTAAGAACTGCAAGTCCTAACTCAATCTGAAATGTTCACATCTGAATATAAACATTTTTGGGGCACTTACTAAGTCCCTAGATAAAATGTTGCTACTTGGCCATTTTAACCAGTGTTCTCTTTTGATCAACAATCCCATTCCCAAGGGGCACCACCCATTACCCTCTCTCCTGCTTCCTATGGAAGATGCACAAAATCCTTTTTCAGATACTCCCATCCGTCAAGGTTTTGTGGGTGTTTACTGTTTTTTGTGTTATACAAGCAACAAGGTGTTGCTCCATATGTGAGCTGAAAATCACGCCTTCGCTGTGTCTTCCCTATGCAGCGCCACCATTCCTCTCTGACGCTCCTCCTCACCCCTCTCCTTCTAACCATATCCAAGAATCTCAGCTCTTAAAGGTGTGTGTCGAGACCAAATGAGCCTTAAATAAGTCATTCTTTCTACAAAACTTGGTAACAATTTTATAGGCACTACTGAAACCTGTGCCTGAAAAGTGAGATTCAGCATGGAGCATACACAAGTAGGTGTGTGAGGGGAGTAGGGCTGGCGGGTGGGGCCGTGCAAGCTGACAGGTGTGTGAGGGCGCTGGAGGTGAGGACTCTGAATGGCAGGTACAGAAGCCCTGCAGCCAAGGGCTGAAGTGTGTCACAGCACAGCTGGATCTTTGTCTGAGAAACAGAACTCCAATGAGCGTGCGCAGGGTCAGCTCCAGGGGAGTAAAACCCTGACACCCTCAATTCAGTAAGCTGTGTAACACACTCCCATACGTAAAGCTCTGTTCTCCTCTACTTCACAAGAAATGAGGCCAGGAGAGGGCAGCCTGCTGCACACAGGCTCCGCCAGCAGCCGGTACCTTCCAGCTTCTTGAGGAGGAAAGACTTGCCGCTGCCCCACTGCGCATACAGCCCCACACAAATGGGCGGCTGCATGGTGGGCTCGCTGAGAATGTCGGCCAGGGCACTGCTGTACAGGTCATAGCCCAGCATGTCCCCATCTGTCTCTGTGGGGGACAGGTGTCCTGCAATTATAAACACACCATTTTCTTAGTTTAAAGGGACATTGCTATAAGGAAGAAACATCCATTCTTATCTAATGTTTATTTAATTAGAAAAAAACTTATTTTAAATGGTCAGACCTGTGTAAAAACAGGTTCAGATACTCTCAAATTAATACATTTATAGACATTATGATACCTACTGAATGCAGGATGCATCATGATTATGTACAACTGAATGTGCATTATTATAATTTTAAAAATATTTTAAAATACATGAGTCAGATTTAAAAACAAGATGCAGTGAGAACCAAATGTGGCAGGTCTCCCGTTGGTCTCTCGGTTGGCCTGTTGGTCACATCTCTTTTTTAATTCTAATAGAAACTATTCTGCTAGAATAGTTCCATATTTTAAGAGACCGCATATGAATGCTCACATTTTCATGTACATTCTTTTTAACCCAAAACTACTGTAGCACACATTCAGGGCCTTATGCTAGATGTTATACAGAATAGTCAGGCCCTGAGAACTTGGAATCTGGAAGGGAGAAAACTCTAAAAGAAATAGAATAACATGTTATATATAATAAGTATTTAAAAAGGAAATATAAACACAAATGCTCAAGAATTTAAATGAGGCAAAACTGATATCTGGTCATGTAGAGCAGATAAAGAAAGCATCACTGAGCCCAACTGGCGTGACTCAGCGGTTGAGCATTGACCTAGGATCCAGGAGATCAAGGTTTGATTCCTGGTTAGGCACATGCCCAGGCTGCAGGTTCAATCCCCAGTCGGGGACCTGCAGGAGGCAGCCAATCAATGATGACTCTAGTCGATGTTTCTGTCTCTCTCTCCCTCCCCCTCCATTCCTCTCTCTGAAATCAATAAAGACATTTTTTTTTTAAAAAAAAGCATCACTAAGAAGGTGACAGCTGACATAAGCCTTGGAGAGAGATCATTTTAACAAGTAAAGACATCCATGGGGGCAGAGCAGGCAGGCCTGTGGTGGGCACAGCACAGCAAAGGAAGAGAGCTGCCAGTGCTAGAGCCACACTCAGAATACAGCACTTTTTTGTTGTTGGTTTTTTTTTTAAATATATCTTTATTGATTTCAGAGAGAGGAAAGGAGAGGGGGAGAGAGAGAGAGAAACATCAATGATGAGATTCATTGATCAGCTGCCTCCTGCACGCCCCCGACTGGGGATAGAGCCCGCAACCCGGGCATGTGCCCTGACCAGAATTGAGCCCCAATAGCCTGGATCCTGGGTCGACACTCAACCGCTGAGCCACGCCCAGCCGGGCTACAGCATGTTTTGATTGGCAGCACTGAGTGTACCTGGGCGAACAATGGCGGAAGGAGTTTTAGAGAAGTAGGCTAGGCTCTGAGGTCTCACAAGTAACTGCCCCCACCCCGGTTGTCCTTCAGCTAGAAAGCCACAGTGCCATGGGAAAGCTCAGGCAGGGCAGCATGCTCATCACAGTAACATTCTAACTCTCATCTCCAGTTAAGTGACAGATGCAAAATTGCTGTTGGTATCCTGACTCTTCCATGGGGCATTCATTTTTTAAAAGCTTGGTCAGGAACAAAGCCTGATACTTACTGGCTCCAAATATTTGAGTGAGAATACTTTTCTGGTGGCTACAGTCAATGTTGTAAGGAGTCTCGCCTGCTTTGTTGGGCCTATACAGCAACCTTCCATCCTTGGGATTTCTTAGAAGAAGTTCTGCCAGCTTCCGACTCCTCCCTCGAATAGCAATATGCAAAGGAGTGTCTCCTTTCTGTAAAATAGAGGCAGGAAACGTGAACTTCCATATTTTTTACATATAATATATACAGAGTAACAACTTTCATGTTTCTGTAAAGCAAATGAAAGTCTGAACTCTTCATATTTTTTATAGCATACATAAATAATGTGAATTTTTATCTCACCTTTTCCCTGCACGTTCTTTCTCTCACTCCTTACCTCACTTTCCTTGGGAATTACTTCTCCCACAGCCCCCCAAAATGAAGGGCATTCTTCCCCCCTCCCTGGAGACAGGAAAAGCAGCAAGCTTTCTCTTGCAGCTCCTCCTGGCAAGGACCCACTCCCATCAAAGGTTAGTAACCATCCATCATCCCAGTATTTACTGTTCACAGATGTCAACCACCTTCCTCTACTAGTTTACATCCTATTTCACAGCTTTCTCCCCATCTGTCTACAAGCTTCATAACCCACACTGCTCTCCCATGTAACACGAGTGAGGAGCACAGCAAGGATGCAGGCAGACACCTCCTCTCCTGCCAGCAAACTAGTGCCCGTCTGCTGAGTCTCTCCTCCAGCCCCTCTGGAGCCTCCCCTGCTATGTATCTTTAACAAGTTCTATATTGCCAAAGCCCTCCTCGTACAGAGCTCCCAGCAGCTCCACTAACTGGTCTGAGCAGTTCAAGTCCGACCTGAGCAGCTTCTTGACTAGCACACAGAGCCCGTCCACTGCTCAGAGGACCATGGGAACCGCCAGGAAGCTATCACGGCACCGAGATCCTGCACAGGTGTCCCAGCAAGTAATCTCTCCCGCACAGATACAACCAGACCCCCTTTAAGTCACCAACTGTACATGTCAGTCCACCAACAGCCTTCCAAACAGTGCTCCCTCCACGCAGATGCTCACCCTGTCCACGGCAGACACTCTAGCTCCCTTATCCAGCAGCAGCTCCACCACCTCGATGTTTCTCATCTTGGTCGCTTTTATCAGGGGTGTCTCACCATCCTGTGGGCACATAAGAAAGTTGGCCAGACTTACAGCTTTATTCCTAGATGTTTAAAGTCACATAAACATATATGTGAGAATTCAATGATCTGATCTAGTACCAGTCTATATTTAAAATGTTCTCAAGAAATCGTAGCTATAAAAACTAACAAGAGCTTTTCCTTTCACAACCAATCTTTTGTATCAAAATAATCTGGTATCGCTCTGAGTATCAGATGTGGCCCACACCTCATCAGCCATTCCTACCCACAGTTCCCTGCCCCACACTGCTGCTGCCATCCCCCAGCTCCACCGCTGACATCAGGGGCAGCGCCTCCAGAGACTACTGCCCTTCTCACCACCTCTCCACCAGCCAACCATAGCCCAGGCAATGCCCAGACAGGCCTATGTCTAGATTTTTGCCAAGTATACATCAGTGTCACTTCTGTTTTCTGTGTCCATAAGGGCCTATGTGTAACAAGAGGTCAATGTGATACAGCAGTGTGCCTCTGGAAAACCCTGAGAGTTCATGGTTGCTTTCAAAAACCAAGGGAAATAAGAAGAGACATCATTCAGCCCTGAATCAGGAGAGAAGCCTGGTCAGAAGCTATAGGTGGTTGAGGTGGCTGACACATGATCCAAAGATAGAAAAAAAAATATTATCAAGGAACGGTTCTGCCCTGTGGTGCTGCAGTTTCCATCACTGGTTAGAAAGACGCTTGTCCCCACTCCAGCAGATGAAATAGGCTTGTCTCATGGGCGACTCACAAGCTTGTGTTATTCAGTGAGAAGTCTCACCGTTTCACTCTAAAACCCCAACTATATCTTCCCCATGAAAACTATTACACATAAGGCCAAGTACAATTACCAAAGCCTTTCAAAGTTTATATTTTCCATATGACTTGAGTAAAACTGACTGCAGTGCCTGCTTTGGGAACCGATAACCACTCACGGTGGTCTTTGTAAAGGAAATGTGTCCTGCATTCCAGACGACGGGAGCACAGAGGAATTTCAGAGAAATGATACTATATTTCCTGAACATATTTATCTAAAGGAATAAATTACACACTATGTTTTCCTGTGAATACACAATTTCTGAAAGGATACAAAGTGACTCCTCAATTTAATATATATATTACCAATAAAATCAGTGTAATTCTAATAACGAACACATTTGATTAAAAAAACAAGGAAGACTCATATACCTTTGTGCATATTTCCGTGTCAGGATTGCACTGTAAGATGTCTCTCACCATGGTCGCATTTCCTTTCTCAACAGCCCAATACAGAGCAGTTTTATTGTCCTATGTAATAAAAAATCAATAATCGCTTCATGTAAGGTACAATATTTTTTAAATGCTGTTTGCAAACATTAAAGAGAATTATTAACACTTCTGCTGTAAAGCAACAGGAGATCTTACCAATAAGCAGCATGGTAGGAAACAATAGTAATCCTCCTTCTATCTTAGATTTACTTGAGAACCTCTTTTATGAAAGAAGCCTGAGAAAACTTAACATTACTTGACTTAGAAAGCAGCAGCCTCACACAGTCTATAAGATAATGTACATTTTTGTAACACAATCAGATTTCAGGACCATGCACTGGGTTGGAAGCCATCAGTACCCGAGCTCCATACCCTTGGACAAGTGACGCTTGGCTTTTCATCTGTCCAATCTTTTCAAAAGGTAATGCACGAGAATGTACTACACAAACCTAAGGTGAACTGTGTTTTCTTATCACTGTTAGCTCTCTTCATCTCCACCCACCCCACACCATAGACCAAACTTGATCAGATCCTTTAAAGTCTTATCTAGTCCAAAACCCAAATATAGATCAACAGAGACCTGACAGTAGAGCTGGAGGACAACATAAACTGACTAAAATGTAGGAAACAGGATTGAAAGGCAGAAAGGAGTTAGGCTGAAGTCTGAATGGGCGGTCCAGCACTCATTTTTTAGTCCCAATGGAGTTCCCCTGCTCAGAAACGCGCATTAGCCTCCCAGCTCTCTTAGGCTCCCAGCACTCCACCTCCCTGGCTCTGGCTCCCTTTCTACTTCCATCTCCATCTCCCATCCCACCCTCCCCACCAGCCCACTGCCAGCCTGGCTTATTCACCAGCTAAGGACTACAGTCTTTCAATTTCCCATTTTCCCCCAGATTTCTCATCCTACTCTTGCACGACCCTTGCCTGAAACACCCAGCCTTCCTTTTCTCTACCTACCTAAACCCAACCCATCTTTCAAACGGAGCTCAGATGCTACTGCCTCCCAAGCCCTCTTAATGCCCTCTTCCCCCTCAACACTCACGCTTGAATTTGCACTAGGCCATCAACCACATTACCATCCTATACCAAGTGGCACCACTTTTTATCTTTATGGAAAAGATCAAAATAAACAGAAATGAAACAAAGTAACGAAAACCTTCCTAACTAAATATATGTTTCTTACAGGCAAGGGTCCCAGGTGAAGTCCCTCAGAGCATTTGGCATAACATTGACTTGCTTGATTAAAAAATGGATTTGGATACAAGCTAAATAGAAGGAAAAAACTGAGCAGAAATGTAGACTGTCCAACAACAAAATGGGATATTAAGTGCAGATTATTTTAAACCTAAAGCTCTTGAAATATTGGAGAGATCCACAAATTTAGGGACGATTTTACCTAAATTTAATAAGCCTTGAGCTAAGGCTGCCTTAAGCCAAGTCCACAGGCACTACCGAGTAGCCCGAGAAAGGTAAGCAGACTGGGGAAAGAGAAGACAGACACAGCAATGGGAATGGATGAAAAAGACAAGATAGAGGGAGATACTAAAGAAAATAAACAAACTGCATACACTTCAAGGGGCACCCAGTCTCAGCGTCATAAACCCCTCATCTCAGGGTCGACTATATTTATACATTAGTGAAGGAGGTATATTTAAAAACACGAGCTTCATTCTTACCACTTCTATTGAAATCTGACTTGACATTAATACAGAAATTCCACAATAACAGCAGCGAAATGTAATAACAAAGGCACTTATTAAGTATAAGAGGCTTTACAAGGCGGCAGAATGACAGCATCAGGCTCCGAGCTCACGGCACCTAGCCACGCATACCTGCCCGCGAATGTCGATGTCAGCGTATTTTTGGAGAAGCGCTCGGACAATTTCCACATGACCACCTCTGACGGCACCGATCAAAACAGTATCCCCACTCTAAAAAGACAAAAAAACAAAGTGACTTGATGATGACAACAAAGAAACACTACTTTGCAGTTAAGGTTAATTATGTATTAATATAACAGACTTTGTTCCTGAATATTTATTGGGACAAAGATCTCTTTAAATAAAGAGAAACATTTTAGACAACTAATATTAATACCTGATGGTAACGCCCTCAGAGAGAGGCAGACTATCAGCCTCAAAATGAGGCCTAAAATCCCAGGACAGACCTGTAGAAAGAAACATTATCCCAAACAGGCCATTCTCTCTGAACACAATCTTCCAGCACAAATGCCATTTACACAGAGTGGCACGTGCAGTTAACAAGCCCGGTGAACACTGGAAACATACAGTGCAGGTTCCCTGGAATAATGCCACAGGACAGAGCCTGGGCCTGAAGCCGGAGCTGTGAAGAGAGCCCGAGGGGTCTGTGAGCACTCTCATCGGGGCGAGGGTGGTTCTCAGACCAGCATCACATTCTAGTCAACCTGGAGTAGAGGCCGCACTGCACAAGGCTGACTCACCCCCAGAGCAAGGCTGAAGTGACTCCTCACTTCACAAGGACATCTCTTCGCCCCGAAATTATATTCACCAAGCAGCAGTCGTTGTCAATTAAAACTTCCCACTGCTTCAAATAATGGAAATGGCTATTTTGGCAGTGGGCAAAATTTTTTTTAACTGCTAAATTACAAATCAGTTGTAGGGACAAGCTTTAGTTGAGAATGTTAGCATTAATATGGGTCCAAACCAGGACACTAGTAAAATGTTATGAATATTTCATTGCACTATGTGCCAGGCACTATTCTAGGTCCAGGGAAACAGACAGGAAAGGTCCCATCTCTAGGAGAATTGACAGCCTAGAGGAGACGGGCAGAATACAATAAAATAAAAAACAACAAATACCACACAAATAAATGAAAACATAGCGATGTGACAGAAAATGCCTGGGTAGCTACTCTGGATTGCGCAGTGGGAGATCTTTCTGAGGAGGTACTATTTAGGCTGAGACTGGAATGAGGAGAGGAGCCAGCCCCATGATGGTCATGAAGAGCAGCACTCAGGCAAGTACGTAGCTGGGCAGAGGCCCCAAAGCAGCGACAAGGCCGTGTGTTCAGGGACGTGAAAGGAAGTGAATGTGGCTGCAGGCTGCTGCAACAGGAGTAGGAAAGAGTGGTGAACATGGGAAAGAGTCGGGCCCGGACACTGTCCTGTGGTATTTAGGAACGAAAGATGCCACAGTGCTCCTACGTGCAGGAGGAAGCCCGGCTGGTTTTCGATGAAGGAGTGCACGTGAGAGTCCCTGCTTAACGATCACTCTGAGAACGTGGCAGAATAACCCAGAGCCAACAGATAACCTGGTTAAGATGCTTCTTGCTGTAACAGTGGGAGGTGGCGGCTTGGACTAGGGAGGTGGTGCTGGGAGTGAGGGAAGTGGACAGATAAAGGATATGTTTGGAGGTAGAGCCAATGGAACCTGCTGAAAAATTAGATGTAGGAGGAAGAGAAATCACAGCTAATGCATAGGACCTGGGGCTCTAACAACAGAGTGGATGCTGGTGCCATTCACGGGGATGGAAAAGACGGAGGGAGAAGCAGGTCTGGGATGAAACAAATAAAACATCTACCTGCTGTAAGTTTAGGAAGCCCTCTCAAGCAGGGTTCACGTGGAGCTGGATATACAAGTGCAGAGTTCTGAGAGGAGGTTAGAGCAAGACACACAATGTTGAAAATTCTAAGTGTGAGGGTGGAACTTGAAGCCCAGAGACCATGATAAACACCTACAGTGACATACATCAAGGTCAGTTAAAAACTAACAGTGCATGTGCCATTTTCAATAACATCCTTCACGATGATTGACTGCATGGCTTTAACTTCTCTTAAGACAAACGTGTGTCGCACATGAAGAACACTGAGAGGCAGTGAGAAGTCAGGGTCCTTCCTTCCACCAGCGTCACCACCAGAGACAAACAGGTGACCTACCCTGTCAGGTATGTTCACGTACGTCCCAGCGTCGAGCAGGTCCTGCACGATCTCCGTGTGCCCCTCCTTTGAGGCAATCATCAACGCCGTGTTCCCATCCTTATCTGTCAAATTCACATTGGGATTCCGCTTCAAAATTTCTTTTACAGACTGTGTGTAGCCTCCTTTTACAGCCACGATAAGTGCAGTCATTGAATTCTAAACACAGAAACAAGCCCAAGAAATTAATATATTCTAGAAAACACTTGATGCCGTAATAATAAAACTGAAGTTTTCAAGAAGGTGGCCTATTAACAGTTATTTCTGAAAATAAAACATCAATATAAATAACCAGAAACACACTACAAATGGCCAGGAGGCATATTTTCTGTTTTTGAAAATACATTAATTCTCTTGAGTCAACAAGACTGTTATGACAGTCAATTCTTTACACAATAATCTGAAATTGGACTCATTTACAATAAACAAACCCTCTCACAAATGTAATGAAGTATAACACAGTTGACAGGATGATTCAAAATTAAACACATTCTAAATTAAACAGTCCAAAGTAAGGTATTTCAGACTTTAAAGAATTGTTTATAATAAAATCTATGGGGAAAAACTGAAAACAATGACTTAGCCACAGAATATTTCATGAAAAGTATATTATTCTGTCTTTTACAGTCATCTAGAAACCCTATTTTCAAAAATTCTTATTTTAGTGGTTCTTTAAAAAACTGCACATCTAATTTATAACAATAAATCACCTAACAGAAGAACCTGACTCATTACCAAAATAAGTATTAAAATTACTTCTTTGGATTTTGATCTACTTTGAGATGTCATACAATTTATAGAAATATTTCAGTTATTAGATCAGCCCCCAAAACTAAGCCATAATTCTCTCACATACTAAAATAACATAACCTTTTATTTTTACTTTTTAAAATCCTCATCTGAGGACATATTCATTAATTTTTAAAAAGAGAGGAAAAACATCAATGTGAAAGAGAAACACGGATCGGCTGCCTCCTGCACATGCTGACCAGGGCCAAGAATGGAACCTACAACCTAGGTATGTGCCCTGACCGGAATAAAACCTGACACCCTTCGATGCACGGAATGACACTCCTACCAACTGAGTCACACCAGCCAGGGCAATAACATAGCTTTTTCAGTTGTTTAACAGTCAATAAGCATACAGACAAGCCACGCATCCACTTGGTAAACTATCCAGAAAGGAAGTAAAAGGTGTGACTTCCACGTTGTCTATGAGTCACACGGTCTCCACACGGCACTAGAATGCCATCTACTACTTGAAGGTCAGCACTTACTAGGAGCTTCTGCTGGTATGGGAGATGTGAGACACTGGCTGGTACTATGCTATTAAGTCAACAATGACTTAGAGCTCACTGCTCTTCACTGCAGCCAGTCTCCTGAGAACCCTTTACAATCCATCCACACAATACTTAGGTGCACAAATGGTCTATATTCATTGTTTCTTGTGCATAAATGTCATCTGCTTTAATTATAATCGAGAAATCTCAAGGAAAAAGCAACATGTGAGCTTCTCCATTGTCTCCAGCATACTTGTCACAGGGCTGGGTCCACAGCAGGTGCTCAGTAAGGAATTAATACTTGTTAGTTGGTAGGAGGTTTGAACCAATTTTTAAGTTTTCTAGGTTTCTGACCACTGATGTCTGATATTTTAAAATATGTCTATTGAAGAAAGAAAATAAGTCACAGCTAACAGTATACAAAAAATTACAATATTATTTTAAATTTTTAAACAAAAGGAATTTTAATAGGGCAAAACTTTCTCCTCAATTAATGCATTTCACACTATGCAATTTGAGACTATTTCGACTTACACTAAGATTACTGAGCAATATCCCTTATACTTTTAGCTTCCTCAAGTTTACGTGCACTAGCAAGAGCTCCCAGGAGCAAAAACTACAGTGCACAGTATCTATAACATAGCATATTTATCAGGATAATAGAAAAAGAACGCTTGTTTTTCTAAGTATCATTTAAGAACTGCAGGAAATTTCTCAGGCATATACTAAGAAAAGAACATTGTCTCTCTAAAAACTAAACACACGTCTCTATAGCCAGAGGTTACAGTACGGAAGATACATACAGCTCCTTCTTGGTCGACATCAGCGCCCGAGGCCAGTAGGTGTTTTACACATTCCAGGTGACCCTTTCGAGCAGCCCAAACCAAGGCGGTGGTTCCATACTATTAAACAACAAAGCATCTGAAATTATTACCAAAGGTGTATGAAAGGAAACTAGCTCTCAACATGGACATGTTGATAAAAACCATACCTTTGAGTATTTTTAGATTATTGCTTACACCAATCATAATTTTATCATAGCTAAATCATATTTTCCCCATTTTATTTCTCCAGAATAGATGATTAACCACTGCATGAAATATCTTTTAACCAACTTTATCTTTTACAATCAGCAAGGGACAATTTTTCCATCATAAAGTCATGCACTAATTTTCAATGAGCTTTCGTTGCTTCCCATATCATGTGAAATACAATTTAAAGTTCAACAGTCTGACTACAGGCAAAAATAGTAACAATCAAGTACCAAACACAGTTTCAGACTGCTTTACTTATAAACTCATGTAATCCTATCACAAGAATACGTGCAAGTGGCAACATCACATTTTCCCAGAGAAGCAATCGAGGCCCTGAGAAGTTAGTTATGGGCTCAAACTCACAAGCTATCAAGAGGCAGAGCTAGAGAGACCCATGAACGTAACAAGTCTGGCTTCAGTCTGTGCACTTAACCACACCCCAAATCAGTTTGCACTTGACAACGTAAACTGCAGCCTAGAAGCTGCTGGAATATGACTCAGAAGACATCAGACTACAAATCCCGAATACGCAGCAATGCTCTCACCTTTGGGGAACCTGGCAGGCAGGAGTCATGAGTGCCCACAGTGGCCTTTAACTGCGTGGGAGGCTACAAACTGAAATGAACACCTAACAAATGCCCTGTCCGTGAGAACGTCCTGTGTTGGCGGAAATGCTCTATAATTCTGCACCAGCCACCACAGCAGCCACGAGTCAACTATGGCTATTGAGCACTTGAAATGTGGCAAGTATGACTGGGAAACTGAACTATTTTATTTTTTCTTATTTTAATTGATTTAAGTCTAAAGAGCTCTATGTGGCTGATGGCTACCGGGCAGCCCCACTCTGTTCATTACATCAAACATTCCAGTGACCACTGTTAAACACTGCAGCCCAGGGCTCTTCCTTGATGAAAGGACCTCAGGACAGCCAGATCACAAGGCCGCCAATGCACCACGTGGGAGCAGGAACCTAACGGGGAGGGACCTATGAAAGGTAGGCAGTTGTCCAGGCCACACCTTGGAGCAGCTTAGGACAGAGGAAGGAATATGGAGGCACTTGCCAGTTCACTCTCACAACCACATTCCCGCAGAACCAAACTCCGAGCCGCTTCCTTTATAGCTTTTCCTCTGGCCCCAAGTCTCCAAATCAAAACCCTCAGACATCCTCAAAGATAATGTAATGGAGTACCCATCCTTCAAACACTTGCTCTCCTTACAGAACTGGGCCACACCAGCTCATACGCTCTACATTCTACTCTGCCCACCCCTTCACATCAGCCAGGCCCCCTCACCCCTGTTCAGCAGATAACCTCTGCAGTGGGTACTCAGAACCGCCTCAGCAAATCCCCCTGTTCTTCCTCAAATCCTGGCCTCCATCCCAATAAACCTGCTCCTTCTGCAGGGTACCAGGGATACTACTTTCCTTCTTTCATCCAGAAGTATCTTCAACAACCTCCTCCCACATCATTAGTCTCTTCTTCATTTCCTTTTCCTATAAACTGGTTTGGGTCTCTCCTACCCTAAGGAACTTTTCCAGCAAGTATCCTCTTAAGATACCATAAACAAGGTGGTTGGGGATAGCAGGAGAAGGGGTAGAAAGGGAGGTGAGGACCATCTTTGTACATCACACCAGGGATTGAGGTCTTTAGGATTTTAAGCATGAGAGAGAGATAACCTGAGTTTTAGGAAGGTCATTCTGATAACAGCACACAAAAAGCAGACAGGACTGAAGGTAGGAAGAAAAGTTATAACAGAAAAATTCAAATAATGAAAACAGGGGCTCCTCCCTGTCTACTTTCCTGAGAAAGGGGACTGTGATGTAAAAGAATGGAAGGACACTTAGCACATAACCCATATAAGGGAACCATCGATGAGATGTGTATAGCTATATAAAATACATTAATATACATAAATAGAAGACACATCCAAGCAGCTCATGCAATGGTAGGAAAATACTTGTAGCTTAGGCACACTGAGTGGACATCACATGGACTGGACCTGAGAGGTCCTGCTGACCTACCTTATCAGAGCAGTTGACTTTAGCACCATTTTGCAGTAGAAGATGCACTATGTCTGCATGGCCTCTCCCTGCTGCCCAAATGATTGGGTAAACACTGTACTGCTGGGAGACAGGGAGGTGGGCAGGTAGGTACACAGAAAGGGAAGGAAGGAAGGAGGGAGGGAGGGAGGGAAAAAACCTTTAGGATGTTTACAGCATACATTTGCTAAGAAAAGTAAATAACGAACAGAATAATAGAAAGTAATATTTTAAAAATCAAGTTGCAGACCACTCTCCACTTTGAAAACACATAACACTCTAATACATAATTGGCACGTAAGATGCACTCAACCTTAAATAAGTATATATTATGTACATGTTTAACGTGATTATCTAGCCAACAGGCGAGACTGACAACAGGCATGTGAAAGTTTTCTTACAAAATCCTTCCATTAGCATAAATAAAAGTCTCTTTTTTCAGCTTCACTGAGGTATAATTGACAAAACTGTGAGATATGTAAACTGTACGTGATTTTATACACACACTATGAAAGGACTCCATCAATAAAACAGTTTCCTAAGCTACAGCCTGAGATCAAGTCATGTAAAGTAGTAACACAGGTATCGCTATCTGTAAAACTGCACAGAAAAATCTCTCTTTTCTTTAAAAAAAAGTTTAGATTGATAACACATGCCCACAGAAAACAGGCAAGATGATTTAAGGATTTTAAAACTCCTTTTGAAATGTGAGATGGTTATAATTAACACTTAAGCTCTAAGAGTTGCCTTTTTGTTGACAAAAATTGAGAAATAAGCAGAGCTTGAGGAAAAATTCTCATTGTGTTTTGAAATCACAGTCTTCATTCTTATCTTTGAGCAGATCTGTCATTTCCAGTCCCTGAGAAGTCTAACGCACAGTCAGCCTCCAGTGTTGCTCATGAGGACTGGCCACTGACACCGCAGATGAGCTCTATCCCCGCTTACCAGACCAGTGACACTGGGGTTGGCCCCATGAGAAAGCAGCAACTCCACCACTTCTGTGCGGCCTCTGTAGCAGGCCCACATCAGAGCTGTCCATCCTCCCTGAAAAGACAGGGGCACAATTTGGGGCAGTCTCCAAGCACAAAAATGCCATGAATAAAGTGCCTTCCATGAATATTATTTATAAAACCACTGCTTTATGAAGGCATTGCTATGTAGTTTTAAACTCCCAAGCTCCCCAGAGAAATACACAATAGTACCTAAAATAAGTCAAATCTCTTAAGTACAGAAATAATTACTTCAAACTTAGTACTATATCATGAAACCTGAAATAAGAGCTATGATAATTAAGAATCATCTCTTGTTAAGCTTGTAATGTGCACAGATGGCATGTCTGGACACAACTATACTTTAAAAATAAATTTATAGTCCAGCCGGTGTGGCTAAGTGGTTGAGCATCGACCTAGGATCCAGGAGATCATGGTTCGATTGCCGGTCAGGGCACATGCCTAGGTTGAGGGCTCAATCCCCAGTCGGGGGCATGCAGAAGGCAGCTTATCAATGACTCTCTCGTCATTGATGCTTCTATCTCTCTCTCTCCCTTCTTCTCTCTGACATCAATAAAGATATATTTAAAAAATAAATTTATAAATATTATTCTGAAAATTATGACTAAACAACTAAAAATATTTTTAAAACTATACTATGTCCCCCCTAAAGTCCTCCTTAAAGGAAACAATTCTCATAAGTTCTAAAACACTGACAAACGGTAATGAGTACTTTTAATAATATTTCAGAATTTTAAATTCTAAAATAAACTAAAAATGATGACTAAGAATATTCTAAAAGAAGAATATTACACAACCCGGGTTTTAAACATTCTTGAGGGTCATTTCGGCGCCCAATCGCACAGCCCAAAAACATCATTATACTAACCCCTCACAATTATGTCAGTACAAGAGCTCACACCCATCTGCTACGAGTGACGGGCGCCAGCTGATGAACACGGAACAAGAGCGCACATACCATGTCCCGGTGCTCCAAGTTCGCCCCGCACTTGAGAAGCTCTTCCACAATGTGCACGTGTCCTTCCTTTGAGGCCGATATGAGTGCTGTCCAGTTATCCTTGAACACACACGACACAGTGTTACCATCTCAGAACCAAAAACAACATTGCAAACGAGGAAAAAGGAATTTGAACGCACATACCAAACTGTCATACCAAACGGCCATGACCTGACCCTCTCTGCTCTAAATAACACGGATGCGCCAGCTCGGCGAGACGCATCTGTCTGCTGTATTACCACAATGGCACAGAAGCGGTCTCACTACTGCTGGTTCAGTCTTTTCACCAGACTTCTAATCACACACCATGCTTTTTAAAAGGAGAAAAGATGACTATCAAAGCCTCAAAGCTATCCCTGTGGCTAGCAGCCGTCACTCTAAATTGAAATTAAAGACTGTAATGAGACGTAAGAGCACACTCACTCGCAGACAGGTAAACCAAGGAGCTCCCATGATGAGTTTAGAAACTATGTGATAGCAAAATAACTACTCTCCTTTATTTTTTAAATAAAGGCTACAGGTATCCTATCCTTTTATTCATGACTGTAATTTAATTCAAATGCCACTCAATAAAAATCATCAATTTAAAATGATCGATTAAAAAAATAAAACAGATGTAGCTGTGTGACCCTAAAAAATAACTCCTGGGAAACAGACAGTAAGAGGAAACGTGAACCTCTGGGAAGAGTGACTTACCCTCAGAAGTGGTAACGGAAGGGACCACATCTTTCTGGCTATTATAAAGTAACGATATTTATAGCGGCAGATACCATTACGAAGAGCTACTGACAACATGCCTCAGACCTGGATAGTTCTAGGCAGGCATTTAATTTCATGTGCATGTGCTCCCTATTTGGCTGTGCCAACAACACACAAAAACATGGAGCATTTTCATTCAAAGTAAAAATTTCCCTTTTTAAAAAATTAACAGTACATTATTAGGCAAAGTTGCTATGCAACAGATAGTATAATCTGTAACCTATTATTTTTTAATCACTTCATAAAATAAACAGCAAAGTTAAGGAAAAGAAAAGACAACAAATGAGTCAATTGTTCCCATAAATACCAAATCCTCCAGGTTGCAGTTGGCTCCATTCTTAATCAGCTCCTTCACGATCTCCAGGCTGCCCTGCTCGGCAGCTATCATCAGTGGAGTCTGGCCGCACTAGAGAAGGAGATACACAGGACTTGTCAGGACGCCGCACTCTAACTAGAAGGCCAGCTAAACAGACCACGTGGACATCTTCAAGTGGGATGTTAAGCACCGCTTACAGAATTTCTTTAATTTAAAAGCACCTTTGAAATCCTAAGTTTTTATTTACTAATAATGTAAACGTCAAAGAGAAAATAAAACCTTTTTTTTTTTAACCACAGCATGACTAGTCTGTTTTTGGCACTGCAATTTTATTCAAAATCATCTAGGATCTGAAAGTAATTACCACAATGTATATAAAGATCTTGGGATCACTATGGTAACTAAATTCTAACGACACAGTTAGATTATGATCCAGACCTGGTTCTCATAATACATATAAAATGTCCTATCAGGACTAGGGGAGAAAAGCCCACAAGTACACACACACACACACACACACACACACACACGTGAAAATTAAAATCACTTCCCATGATCTTATCCACTGGCAAAAATTACACTACATTGTAATACAGTTTTAAGAAACAAAATTATTCTTATTACGTTTTATAAAATACACAGTTTGCCATTAAAAATTCATACAAAAAGTCTATTAGTTCATAAAATGTTGCAGCTTGGCTGTTCATGATGAAATAAGATCAACATTTTATTTACTGTACTGTTGAGTAGGAATATCTAATATAAGTTAATGGAATACTAAGTATATACTTCCCTGTCTTATTAAACAGGACACATGACCTATTTAACTCTCTCTTAAAGATGCAGGTCCCACGGCATGTGGAATGGATGATGCAGAAAGGGAACGGGGGCTCCATTAAAGAAAACATTTCAGAAAGTCCTAATTTTGGCTGGTTAATCCACTTATAGCTAACCTGCGTCTAGAAGCTCTCTAAAGCTTCCTAGAATCATCTTAGATTTTTGTAATCGAATTTGCTGAATAGTAATTATTCCACCGGCAAAAAAGGCAATCATAAATCTAAATTCAATACCCAATCATTTACGTAAGTTCAAACGCATCCCCAAGATATGGGACCTGAAGTACGTGAACTAGAAGAAATGGCGCCCTGATCTCCCCGGCCGCCTCCAGCCTCTGCCGCCTTGGCGCAGCGCAGTCCAAGTGCTCTCAGGAGAGCTGGGTGGGAGCGGGAGGGCCTCACCTCGTTCCTCTCGTCCACATCCCTGCACTTCTCCAGAAGCGCCTTCAGGGCAGGGATGTTCTCTTCTTCTACATAACCGATCACACTCTGCGAGATCAGCACCGACATGTTCACACAAAGCTGCAGGTCTCTCTCCTCCAACACCTGTTAGAAGCAGATAAGATAAAACACATCATTTGTGGTTGGGGAAAACTAGCGCTAACGTGTGCAGCTACACCTGCACCGGCAGGACTGGAGACGTCGCCCAGCTCGGCCTCTCTTTCCAAAGCTCACACTCATCCCCCTCCCGCTCACCCCAGCCCCCAGCTCCAGAGCACCCCACCGCCCTCAAATCAGAGCAAGTGCTCTGCTGCTCCGCCTGCTGCCTGGGTAACGGCAGCTCCAGCTCCCTTCCAAGGCCAAACCCATGGATGCGCCTGGTCCTCGTACACTCTACAGTCAGCTCTCAGCAATCCTCTTGGTCCTCCCTATGGAATACATTCCATCTCTGATTACCACTCCCCAACTCCACACCTGCGCCTGGTCGAAGCCACTGCAACCTCCACTGGGGCCCGCCTGTTCCTCCCACCCCACGGCACCTGCCCCACTGGCTATCCTCCAGGCAATCACAGCGACCTCGTGAGAACACAAGTTGGCCCAGAGCTCCTTAAGCCATAACACGCACCAGAATCGCCCAGAGACCTTGTGAAACACGGAGGCCTGGCCCTACCCTCAAAGGCTCCGGAGCAGGTCTGGGCACGGCCCCTGAACCAGCATCTGTAACAGGCTCCCAGCAATGCTGCAGGGTAGCTGCTGACTGAAGAGCCACCCCAGTGGCAGAGTCAGTGACATCCTTCCCCTCTCACAGCCCTCCGGCGCTCTCAGAGCACTCCAGGTGAAACCAGATGTTCACCTAGGTCTCAGTGGCCTGGTGTCACGCTTCTGACCTCACGTCCTACCCCTCCTCCTCGCCAGGTCTCTGCCCAAACAGGCCCAGCACTGCGCCACCCTGGGGCCTCTGCACCAGTGCTCCTGCCTGCCTCATCTCTCCACCAGACAGGCACAAGGCGCTCCGTCACTGCCTCAGTTGCCTTACCAGGAGTCTGCTCGTGTCACGTAAGATAGTAACCACCTCACACCTACTCCACACCGGCTCCGCACTCCCGGCCTCCCACCCCCACCACGGTACTTTATGTTCTCCGTGGCACTCACCACCATCAGAGATACAACGTGTGTGTGTTTCCTGTCCACCCACCACAACTAGACTATAAGGTCCCAGAGAGTAGGAACTTTGTTTTATTCAATTGGGCATCCCATGCAAATAAATAAACCTCAGTCACACTTTGCACCAAATACATGTACTAACACAAAACTGACCTAAATGTCATACCAAAAATCACAAAACTTCCAGAAGAAAACAGACTATTTTGGATTAAGCAAAGATTTTTTTCAAGAAGACACTAAAAGAATGGTTCTTAAAAAAAGAAAACTGATAAATCAGAGTTCACCTAAATTAAAAATGTTTACTCTGTTAAAAGAATAAAACGCTTGAGACTGGTGGCTATGTTTTTCTTCCACTTCCCCCTCCTGAACAGGAGTGTCTGCACCCGGCATCCCACGCCTGTCCCCGCATTGTACTTTACAGTACATGACTTTTGAGTCCCACAGGTTCACAGATGGGTAGGAATCGTGCATATTCCTATACGATGGAAGATATACCCAGAGCCTCACTCACACCTGATTTCGATGATGGGAATCTAAACTTCTAAGCCGACAAAACTCAAGTGAGATTTTGGACGCAGTCCTGCAGTGCACTGACACTTTGAGACACCTTGGGATGGGGTGAATGTGGTTTGTATGTGGGATGGAAGTCTATCTTTGGGGCCAGAAGACAGAAACGACTACACTGCATGATTCCATTTATACGACATTCTAGAAAAGGGAACCAGACAGACAAAGACAGGTCAGGAGTTGTAAGGCTTAAAGGTCGGGGAGGAGATGCCTACAATGGGTATAAGAGAACTGGGGGAGTTCATAGATTGTTGCATATCCTGACTGCGGTAATTACATAATTATATGGCTTCTTCAGAATTCAAAACTGAACACTAAAAAGAGTGAATTATAATGCACGTAAATTATACCTAAGTAATACCTTACTTTTAAATAATCATCAAAAAAAGTTATGTTACTTGATCCAGTAACTTTATTCTATTTAGAATCAATTCTACAAACACAAGAAACATGGAGAAAGATTTTTAAATACAACACAATTTTAGTCATAAGTACAAAAAAGTTAAAGATGGGGCATTACACAAATTATGATACATTCACACAGTGGAAAAATGTACAGTCATCAAAATGTTTCCAAAATAGGTACTAACAGAAAAATGCTCGTGATATATTAACTGGGAGAAAAAAAATAACCAAGAAAACTACATATACAGCATCTCAACCACATAAAATATATACATTTTTAAATACTGAAATGACATCAATGTAATTTTTACTTTCTTTAGAACCTTTATTCCTAATTTCCTAGAAATGTGGTGCTTTTATCATTGGAAACCAATAAGAGATTTGTGTTAACAGTCATCACCGACATCCAACACCTTCATTTATTTCCACTTCTTAAAAAATCGAGTCCAACTCGTCTTTAAGGATCTGGCTCTACCTCCCACTGCCTTTTACCAGCCCCACCATGCATCCTAGAGCCCGGCCAGGCTGAGTTGCCGGCGCCTGCCATGCTGCTCCACACGTCTGCCTTTGCTCAGCTTGCTGCCTCCACTCTGAACACCACTCTCATAGCCTCTCTCCCACAGCATCTACTCCTCTCCAGAATACAGCAGTTATCACTTTCTGTCCAAGTTTCCTCCTTTGTCAGATGTCAGCCAACCCCTCTCAGTGCCTTAGTTTGGGGCCTTTGCCATCTACACTTAAGACTCCTAACCGTGCAAGAGGCAAACTTAAACTAGCTTGAGCAAAACAGAAATTTACTTTAAGGATACTGGTTTCTGTCCCACAACCACACTGTGGGAAAGGTGGGTGCCACTGGACCTCAAATGCCAGCAGAACTCTCCTCTATTGGCTTACCGTACTTTCATTATGGACCAGCTTCTACACAAATAGGAATATGGCTGCTGACAGCTATCTCGCCCCAAATTAAAGTTTCTAAAACTAGAGAAAGTTTGGACTTGTTCCCAAACCCAAAAGTCCCAGAAAAGGGCTCTGACTACCTAGACCGTGTCAGGTGCCAACCTGGAACCAGTCAACCACAGTCACAGTCACAGGACTGGAGGCATCACAACACTACATGGTGCCGGCACTGTTTCCAGAACAGGGGAAACTGCTGTGGTGGGGGTACCTGTTCTGAAAATCTTTCCTGCGACACCTTCCACCTGGACCAACAGGACAGTTCCTGGCCTGTGCTTCCACCTCCCACCTTTCCCCCTCCAATCCAGTTGCCACACTGAAGCAAGTAATCAAAACGCACGTCCCTCAAAATCCTCCCGTGAGTGCCCCACAAATTCATGCTGGGAGAACAAGATGGGGGCTTCATGACTGACAGGTTACTCAAGGCACTGAAACCCTAAAGCCTTTCGAAGCCACTGTAAAGATTCAATTCCATGATTCCTGTGAAAAGCTTCACTCTGTATAGAGCAGGGAGGACTCCTGAACTCAACTGTTTGTTTTAATTTGTAAAAAATATATCTTTGCCCTTCCGGGTGTGGCTCAGCGGTTGAGCCGAGTCCACCCAGGATCCAGGCGATCGGGGTTTGATTCCCAGTCAGGGCACATGCCCGGGTTGCAGGCTCGATCAATGACTCTCATTATTGATGTTTCTCTCTCTCTCTCTCCCCCTTCCTCTCTCTGCAATCAAGAAAGATATATTTTTAAATAAATAAATAAAAATAAAAAATATATCTTTCTTGATTGCAGAGAGAGGAAGAGGGAGAGAGAGAGAAACATCAATAATGAGAGCTATTGATGGGCTGCCTCCTGCACGTCCCCAACTGGGGATGGAGCCTGCAACCCAGGCATGTGCCCTGACCAGGAATCGAACCACTATCTCCTGGGTCCTAGGCTGATGCTCAACCGCTGAGCCACGCAGGAGCAGCATGAACCCAATTCTTGACTATGGTGGGGAAGGCATGCAGCTCCTTCACTACCTGGCCCCATCTCACCCTTCCAGCCTCACCTTGCCGGGCCCCATCCCTCCCACCCTCTCCCCAGGCCTGCTTCCCCACTCCCATGCACACTTTCAGCTCTAGCCAGACTAGCCTCCTTGAGGCTCCATGGCTGCCCCACACTTCTTTCCAGGGCTTTGCACTTACTGCCCCTTCCCTTCAGAAAGCCCTCCCTCCACATATCACACCTGGACAGCAACCCCTGGCCCTGAGGACCTGCCCTAACAGCACCCTCTCCTGCACTGACCTCTGCTCGCTCCAGGCTGGGCCCGTGTCCCTGCTCTGGGAGGCCTCCGCGCCCGGTGCACCTGACCTTGGACAGCTCACAGCACACCCGGCTTCCACCCTACTCTCCCCCGTCCACGAGCCCCTCACCTACAACTTCCTGAGGCGGGACCACCTTACATCCAGGGTGGTGTCTGCGCAGTGGGGGCTGAGAGGGGAGAACCGGCCCAGGGCCCGACCGGGCCTGGCCCGCACAGCTAGAGCCCAGTGTCCTCGGTGGCCATAAACAGTCTGCCAGAGACCAACATCGGAGGTCACCCAGACTAGGACCTGAAGACAAAAACAAGACCACCTGGCAAAACATGAGCGTCGTGCAGCCTTCACTCCGGGGTCCTCTCCAGAAAGGCCTTTCTCCAGGCGGCCTGGCTTCCTGCTGAAAGGCGTGGACCCTGGGGGCCAGGCTTCTCCAGGCGGCCTGGCTCAGTGCTGACAGGCGTGGGCCCCGGGCCAGGCGGCCTGCCTCGGCTCCACTCCTGACCTCGCTACTTAATGTGTTATCGCCTTCGGCTCGTTTCTCGACATCAGTGTCTAAGTGTCTCGTCTTTAACTGGCTGCACAGTTGCGTGAAATGGGATTAAGCCGGCGCCTGACACCAACTCGGGGGGCAGCCTCCGGGCGCCCAGCAGCGGGGCCCTAACGCCCTCGCCTCCCCGGGGCTTCCCCACCTGCACTGTTCGGGGTCCCTGCCTCCTTGTGGTTTCCTCAGTAGGGTCCTTTTCCATTTCCTTCAGGGCGGAAACTTCCCTAAACTTGTCATTTACAAACAGGGTGCCCCCCCAAAAACGTGCACGCGCTGTATCGGCTGAGGCTCAATCCTGAAAATGAAATGTCTCACTAAGCGCCTCCGTGAGAATCCTCCGAGCGAGCGGCGTCCGCGGGGCGCCGCGTGCTCACCTTCGGACGGCGGCCCCTCCCGGGCGCTCGTCCCACGGACACAGGGCCGCCGTCCTTTGTTCTGCACCCGCGC